TCTTTTTGTGATCAACATCATCAGAAATTATGATGCTATGCAGATTGTTTCGCTGCTGCTGGAGTTACGACTGTCCACTGGAGCATTTGGATAATGATTTCAGGAAGGCCAAGGCGTTCATAAAACAAAAAGCTTTGGCCTCGATGATCTCTTATATTGGGTTAATGTTCCTCGTTCAGCGTCAAGGCACCCAATTTACAGGTCTTTCTACCTCTAAGTAATTATGAGCGAATGTCTTGCTTCTGGCGAAAACTTCGCTATCCGTATTGTATTCTAGATCAGTGCTCTTTTTAATCACCAGAAGTGTGATGGGGTCACACTAGCTATTGGCTAAATCGGTTAAAGGCCCTTCATATGTGATTTGGGAGACAAGTACAGCTTTAAATTTTATATCAATAGAGAACACCGTTTAGTCGGTATTCTCTGAGCTACGGTAATTACCGTGGAGGTACTTTGTACCGTCATCATTTGATGACTGAGTGATGTGCCAACCATCCATTTAGTTCGTATACTAGTAATTGTACTAGTTCTATTCCAGTCTAATACGGGGTACTTAAAGTAGCATCTCCTTGATATAAAATCTAAGTAAATTCAGTTCTCATTTTGAGCAGAAGTCCGTAGACTTCCCCCTTTCGCACGTTGCGTTTGACAGTTCCTTAGAACTTTCATGGGTTAGAGAGTCCTTAGACTCCTGTATTTCCCTTTGCACATAGTGCGTGTGGTTCCTTAGAACTACAGTAGTCTGAGCTGATAGCTCATAGAGTCCGCGCTAGTTCCGCAGAACTAGCCTACTCTTTAACTTGATATACCAGTTCCTTAGAACCAATCGGCTACAAGCCCTCATGACTCATTGACTGTTAGCCATAAGCCTCTAGCTTAAACCGTAAAGTCTTTCTCTAAATATATATATATAATAATATAGAGCTGTGGTAGCTCCGCTACAAGAGGGAAGGCATTTTGGGTCATATGTACTTCAAATTGCTTAAGTTCAAATTCCAGTAATTCTGACTCTTTTTTGTTCTAGACCATGCCTTTGTGCATTGGTAACAGTACTCAGTACATATTCTGCAATCATTTATAAGGGAGTCGAATAAGTTAATGATTTTACCCCTATGAAACAAAAAATCGGACAATTGGAAATACACGTCTACTACGACTCGGCTGATTCATATAATTTGTCTCTCACAAGCCTATGAAATGTTCGAGGGATGGCTGCATAATATTCCTCGAATCTTCGCATATATTATCATTTAAATTTAACAGGTACAATTTATAGACCTTCTATTAATCTTTAAAATGTCACAAGCCAATTGTGTCTGAATGCTGCAGCGCATGTGATGATAACTCCATTATCTGTGTTCACGTCTCACAAAGTTTCTGCTTGTGCGCGACCACTATAGCGATGATGTGGAGCGCGGGGAATTTGATTAGTGTAGTATTAATTTAAGCTTGCCAGTCACGTAGACCTTTCGTCCGTGTCAAAGCCCCACGCACCTCGGCTTTCAAAATGATGTTTCTACCAAAAAAAATCGGTTGCAGAAGATCGACTCATCCTTAGATTGGAATGAGGTAAAACTAAGAATTCTGTGAATCATGAGGAGGAGATGATGCTCGGCCACATCATTAAGTATATGTTTGCTTAGTAAATAAAGTTCAGCTTGATCTGAGATGAACATGGCTAATGTGAAAATAAAAACAAGTAGCAGCACCAGTGTATTTCTAAAGCGTATTCTGCGACGACTGACGATGAGGAGTGACCGTTGAAATTCTTATAGCGTTTTTTCATCCCCTTTGTCTTCCTTTTAGAGCATTCTATATTTTAGGTGGTCTTGTGATCCTTGACTATTTTGCACAAACACCCCTCATTTTACATCGGACGCAGGTCACATGGAAAAAGAATAGCGTTGTAAGAGGCAAAACACTGCTTGATCTCGAGTAGAAAAAGTTGACCTACAGTTTTACCGACCTCATCTAGACTTAAAACTGAACCGATTACGTTGTGTATTTGCACTTCGATAACAGAGCCAAGTTGCGCCAGGCTCAATTCATCCTTACGTACCGACGCAAGCAGTGAGAATAGTGCTGCCAGTCCATCACCGTCAACTATTTTTGCCAGGATAAGTATCATTGAACACACGTAGGTGACCCTGCATGTTCCGATCATCTGCTACAGTGGGATGTGTGTCACTGCATAAATGTTGTCTTGACGTTGGTCATCGTTGACATCAGACAATAGGCACGCGACAGCCACGTTTTGCAGCTTATCACTTGATGCGGAAAATATGATGCGTGGCACACAGTTCATATGTCTTATAGACTGTTGTCAAGTCAGAGGAAGTAACAAATAGCCTTGTATTGTACATTCTCATGGTATTGTTGCCTTTCAATCGGAGGAGGATGATGGTTAGCCGACTTTCTTGTTTCCGTTACCTCGCGCGATTTGATATTTATAACGCCGTGACACAAGCTACCAAGATGTAGTGGGCTGCGCTAAAGTTCAATAATGTAGGATGTTGCGGAAGGAATATTGCCTAACCTACAAAATCTGAATGTAAGATTCAAGCTTAGGCGACTGGTGACTCCACGCTACAAAATCAGAAACTAGGTGCATTTTTTTCACATGATCACTTTCGTGTATTAGTGCACCGTGCTACACCGTCTGGTCTTCACGCTATAATGCGATCTTTATTTTTCCGGCCTAACGAACCAGCTATCGGCAATACATCACTGGTGCCTCTACTGGCATATAAAACAAATGTCGCTACTTTTCGAAATAGAGCAATACACGGTCGTGGCTTCGGGATGCTGCATACAAGCTTATGGACTAAATTAAGCAGGACAAAACGACTAAAAAATGTTTAATACAGAACTATATCAGCGCGATACTGAAAGGTCCCACCATCCAAGAGATTTGCTGCAGCACGCACGACTACAAAGCTCGTTCAGTAGCTAGTACATTGCAGGATCGCGTATATGCAGGAACTGTCGACCAGTAAAGTGTTTACTATAATGTGTTCCATTGCTGAAACATACTCCGCTAACCAGCTGAAAACTATCATCGATTCACAACCATAGTGCGCGGTACGAATTGGAATATATTTGCTATATCAACACGTGCATTGGCAGAACTTGCTGATTCAGAAAGTGCTACAAGGGATCTATATCGACATTATGTCGCGATTGTGAGTAGAAGGACGCATTAAACATCCCCAACTGATAGACTACATGTGTCCAACTCCATCGCCAACCACACGAATACGTAAAATCTGTGTTTTAAAGTCGTGATGTGCTGTCGATTTGACGGATGGCAAATCGACAGCGGTGCATATCGTTGCACCATGCGAACAATTCAAATAGGCCACATGCTCTAGAATGATTGCGAACAGTCCGCGTCACCCATCACCCTCCAGCATTGGCAAACGTTACGTCTAATCATTTGAAATCATAAACCCTTTTCGGTACGCATTTCGGTAGACACGGATGCATGCTACATTTAATGTCGGGTCTCGTCGGGGCCCCGTGCGTCCGGAGCCCTTTCTATTCGCCTCCGCTAAGTTGCGACTGGCATCAATTTCCTTATACAATCCGAGTTGCAGAGCACGCCCCTGCAGGGTCTCAGCACTGGTAGCAGCGCACGCATCATCGCACTTCAGTGTTTTTCGTCCATCTGGTAATCCAGGGATTGCTAAGATGGGTGCCCGAGACGGCGGCAATGAAGATGTTAGGAGAATGCTCATGCAACTAGCGTTTCAGCCTCATTAAATTCTTCTGCGCCCAGGCCTCCAGACCTGCTGCGTGGCTTCAACACACATTTGATCGAGGATAGTTGGGAATCTGCAACTATCAAATGAAAAGCTTTCCCACCTTTGGAAACACACAACTACGATAACTGACACTGAAGGGCAAGGAATAGTAGCAACAGAGAGCGGAGACTCGAGAGTCACTACCGACAGCTGTGGTTGTATACTTTAAAAAGTTTGAACTCGTGTCCGACATAGCTATTTGATGATTTTTGCCATACGACAGTAAAGAACAGCTGAGCGGAGTACTTCGAGGACGCAATACTGACGTGGTATTTAGTGATATGGCATCGTCGTTTTCGGAAAACTTTCCGACTGACAGTCTATAGCAATTGCGGTTGTGCCACTGTGCGCTTATAAACGCAAGGCTCGACTTGCGTCCAGGTGAAATGTGTGGCCAAGGTTTCGCGCTGGGTGATCCGAAGGCTATCGAGCAGAGCTAAAGAGACAGAACGCTCACGAGCAGTAGGTACTTTTGCAATAACGTTAATAACAGCGACCGCATTACTGTCGTTCAGCACCTCAGTCATCTCGTGAGAAGGGACTTTTGTGTTTGATCTTAATGGCGTGGTTGTATGCTATCCGCAATTACTCGAGTATTTGATGACTTTGGCTTTTGTGATCGTCTCGCTCCTTGTAGGGGTAATTCCATCTGGCGACCTTACGTGTAGACTAGCGCATTCATCCCTTCATCGGGAACTGCACCACCCCACATTCACTCATACAAATGTAGAACTGGCGGCGGTGATACATCTGATGTTAGGCTCGTCAAGTTTTGTCATGATAGAAATATGTGGGGACGCGAGCAGGATCGTGGTTGCCTTCGAATAGTAGTAATTGCGTACTCGGAGCTTCACTTGGTGCAGAATACGGTGTAATGTACCGCTCTCATCTGCCATCTGTCAAATCGACAGCAAGTCACGACTCAAATGAATCTGATGATATGTGATTGTGCAGTTGATGATAGACATGGACACAGGAAGTCTCTCAGTTGAAGATGTATGACGTGTCCCTTGAGTAGGCCACGACTTCTTTTCCGTATCGATTGTGAATGAGTCAGTTGGCTGCAGCAATTCAATCCCGTGTCAGATCTCACATCGATTGCTCCTATCAAGTCACTTAAAAATTGAAGAGGTCGCTCATTGTTCTACACTCCTCCTCCTCCATCCGCTGCTCATTAAGAACCCGCCACACTCGAAGATGAACTCCACTAAAGACTTGAAGGAACTGCTCAGTTGCCTCTTGTTAGTTGCAGCCGTGAGTTACGTCACTGACTTGCAATTTTATGGAGGAGTCTGTGTAGCCATCCAATGGCTGTCAGCAATGTACGGTATCCCCAACCAAACCGAACGGTACTTTGACCTCACGGGTTCTACTACCTACGCGATCGTCTCCATGCTCGCTTACCACGAGAAAGAGACGCCTTCATGGCGCGATAGTCTACTCACGGCATTTGTGTGGCTCTGGTGTGTACGGTTGGGATCGTTCCTGTACCTGCGCATATGTGAGTGCGGGAGCGACAAGCGCTTCGCTGAGATCATTGTCAACCCATTGTGTTTTCTGACAGCCTGGAACATCCAGGGCCTTTGGGTCTTTTTCACACTTCTTTCGGTGCTACTTAGTATCACACACGGAGTCGATGTCCCAGAGGTCAAGCCGCTCGATATCATTGGTACAACGCTGTGGGTTCTCGGCTACCTTATCGAAGTGACGGCTGACTACCAAAAGACCCAATTCCGCCTTGACAAGCGCAATGAGGGCCAGTTCATTTCGAACGGACTGTGGAGTTACAGCCGTCACCCAAATTACTTCGGCGAGATCATGATGTGGACCGGCGTCTTCTTGGTGGCGGTGCATACACTACCGAGCTTCGCGCTGCAGTGTGGCGCTGCCGTGAGTCCGGCGTTCATGGCGTTTCTCATCATGTTTCGCTCGGGTGTTACCCTCCTTGAAGAAGCTGCGGACAAGCGCTGGGGGCATTTGAAAGCCTATCAAGCGTACAAGTCACAGACGAGCGTGCTGATTCCGATGCCTGGACGTTAATCTGCTGTTCTCAAGCAGGCCAAGTTTGCGTGCAGGTTAGGAGTGCGTTAAAAGGCTTGTGCAAATGGAGTAAGCACGAGGAAACGTGAGGAACTGACTACGTCTATTGTTTGGTTTTTTGTTCATACTGTTAGCTGCAAATTGCTCTTACCCGATGTCCAATGATTGAAAAGGAATAATTTGCAGTACTATAGTTCTAAGTGCATTCGAATATTTTTTGCTTGGCGAGATACTGTTATCACATTTTTATCACTTTTGATTGCATCCTCATGCATGCACTTAAATGCTTGGATATCAACAAGCAGCACCTGATATAGCCGAGGAAGGGTAGTGCGTCATCAATTTTTTTGCGCGTGCGTTTATAAGGGCGTTTATTGAAGAAACCCGCGTTGAAGCCTTCACCCATACATAAACCAAGTATCTGAAATTCATAACCTGCTAAATCAAGATAGAAAAGCAAGTTCTGGACTCGCCCTTTGATGACATAGAGGGGCAAGCTCTGGAGATCGCCCTTTTTTGTTGAGTAAAATATTTGAATTAAGTTTCAGATCACTACATCTTCCTTATTTTATAGATTTATCAGTTTTATAGGACATGCACATGTAAAATAACAATATTAGGACATAAAATGAAAGATTCTATAGGTTATAGATACAATGGTTTTTAGCTTGTTTTAATCGACAAAAAAGCACTAAACAAATTTAAATTAGCAAATGCATACATTATGTTAAGAAAAGAGGATGTTTACAAACTTTTAAAAAAGTAGGATGAGTCTGTGTTTGGACTCCGTATAGCTTAGAAAAGGAATCTAGCCGGAGTATCAACTCTGGCTAAAAATCGTACCCCGTAAAACGGGCTCTTGCCCTACCAAGCGTTCAAAATAAAGCTCTTACCCCGGGAGCGCGCGGCCTCAGTGGTCCTAGTATTCTTGGCAAAAGTTACCGATATTATGTCATAGGCTCAGTGGCGCAGTTGAGTAGCCCAAAAGTAGTTGAGTCACACGTAAACTGGTTTGATATACTGTATTCACTTTGACTTATACTAAATTAATTGCACGTACGTCTGACGATTATAAACCCTTTATTTTCAATACGTTTAATTACGAACTACTACTAAGTATACATAATCTCAATAAGTTTCACCCTGTTAAGTATTCTTGGCCTTAGCTCGGTCAACATTAACCCTTCCACCTTTCGTGGCGGCAAATTCTTCGATTCTCTGATCTTGTACAGCCAGTCGTACGAGCATTGAACAGCAGTCAAGTGTTATATGCATTAAACTCTTAGAGCGCGACAAGATGTAAATTAATGACTTCGTTCTCTTTTCCCCAAATTTTACAACAACATGATCCAACGTGTGCCCTTTTCTCTTTTGTGGTTATTCCAAATCACGATCGGAGCGGGTGTTGTGTCCGATTGCGATCATAATGATTAGAAAAAGTTAGAGGATGACATTTACTCTATTTTCTCTGTCTTTTACTATAGCCGAAAAATGATCGGCCAATGTAGTCGTACCAATTAACAACGATATGGATGGCATATCAATGATGACTCGATCGTTCTCATTTACGATATCTCGGACCACACCCCTGCATCCGTTTAGTAGCCCGACGCCCTGACAAGTATTTGAAGTCTTACTCATTGAATGGCAGAGACTCAGCATCAGGCCATGCAAAAGCACGATGTAAACAATAACTTTCCAGGATTTGATTGCCAGATTTTCTGAACGAAAAAGCGATATGGCGGGTAATTCGCAATAGTAGCAGCAATTACCGACACTGGTCGCAATGCCATCACCACTTCAGCACAGGATTATGTGTACCACTTAACTGATCCTATTTTACTATTTTCCTTCCATTCATTAATCTGCAGTTGTCCAATCGAGACAGCTCCACCCCTTCCACAGCATCCCATGGCCACCTACCTTCGGCGTTTATTTCTATTGCAAGGCTTTGAACTGCGCACGGGATCTCGCGCATGTCGAGCGATATGCAAAAGGAAGGACGAATGGGCGATGAATAAAGTATGAAGGTGAGTCATCAATTAGTTGTCGAACCCGAATATTAAATCTGAAAACGCACAATGTGAGTGTGCGCAGTCGTGCGTAATCAAATTTCTAGTCGTGCGCTATTCCAACCAACGTATTTAAGCCGAAGAAATTGCAATTTAAAGACCTTACTGATACTTTTTATCGATACTGTTCCACTAAAAATGATTAACGTGTTGACGTGTGAGTGATATATGAGTCGTGTATTTGCTCGTTAAGATAAGTGCTATCTTCGTATCAAAGTAGATGAAGCTACATCTTATCACGTGTGCTGTCCACCACTCGACGGTCGCGCAAACACATTAGACGGGTCGTCAGAGAGATAAGTCACTGCAAACATCAAGACACTCGTCAAAGTAGGATTTGATGACTATTTCGACAGTGCCGCCGACTTATTGGATTGATACGACTCATCAGACACGATCGTGTACCGGGTCATCTATCTAGAAGTGTAAATTCTTTGATATACGCAAAGACATTTTTCTCCAACGTATTGACGTAATACTCGATAAATATGATGTCACGAAGGGCTATGATCTACAGCTTCAGTTTGTATCATGGAAAAGATCCTCGCTTATGGTTTTGTGGTTAAAATGGTTTCGGGCACTGCAGTTGCCGTCGTTAAACATTGCAGCGCCATCACTTGATCGAGTGGACAACTGCAGATTAATGAATTGACGAAAATGATGCAATATGATTTTTTAGCGTGGTACACATTTAGTGGGTGCTGAAGTGGTGATATTAATGCGACTACTGTCGGCATTGCGACTTTTGCCGCTATTTTGTGCTGGTATTAAGACTTTCTCTAATTTGGCGATTATCCTCATCATTCATGTCGCCTAGATTAGGACCACCGCCAGCTTCCAAATTTATTTACTTCGACAATTACCTCGGAAAGATATTGAGGTACGTTATTTGCAGGTAACAAACTGCAATTTTCCTGGCTAACGTAAATATTTCTATTTAGACACAATCGGTGAACTGTATTCAAACTCTCTCAATCCCCTGTATTCGTGATCTACTAACCTTGCAATGGACGAAAGTGTTGTCCTGTACATTATTTCCTAGAAAAACAAAGGAGAGCTCGTCATCTAGACACGGAACTTAATAAATATAGCCGCAGAAATTCTTGCCGAGAGTTTAAACATAATCACGACAGATATATCTTGACCGGCCTTGAACTGAAAACAAATATCACAGGGAGACCGGGCGACAACAATTTTTTTTTAAATTGTAAATTTCTCGAACACAACTTTTATGTGAGCAGGTATCATAAAATTACCAAGTTTCATGTCGTCTTCACATACAATTGTTTTCAGCAGAGCATATAAACATTTAAAAACATTTAAATTAGAAAAAAGGGACCTATATAAATTGTAGTAAAGCAAACCTCTCATGCATCACCTGCTAACAAAAATTTGTAGAAGCGTAGATCACCTCACTAGTTGGCCAAAGTTCACGACGCTTTAAAATTTGACATTGCTTGTACTTGCGCATGTTCAAATGGAACCTTGGCATGGCTCACAGCATAAGGCTTGCTCTTAAAAAAGCCATTTTAATGCATAAAATTGGTTCAAATTATTGGTATTTGATAAAATATCGTAACCGGTACGGTTGCATCGTTTCTGCGTAGTTTTTCTACTCTGCATGTCTTGCCAATTTGTAAGTGGTCACTGATCTTTCGAATCTGTGGCACGACTATTAGCGCAAGCTCTCAAGTTAAAGACAAATCGGGTATCAGCATAGTCGTATGATAGATACAATAGGTTTAAAAATATATATATGTGGGCATTTTAAACACATATTATACCTCGACTACCTCGAGCAGCCTAGCCTAAGTTATGCTTGATAGTTTCGAGGTTGACGATAAGTATTAGATACAAAAAATGCATCATTGTATCATCTGCAATTTTTAACTATGATCACCACTTTCCCATCTTTTCATGAGAAGGGCGAGCTCGCCTTCGAGATTATGTTAAGCTGCGCGCCTATCTCTTATAGCTACAGTTTTAGGGATTAATGGAGATATTACAGTACTTGTCTTTCGTAATTTTAAAATATATCCGAAATTTTTGAAATGCTTTTTAATACACTTTCGATGCGCTTAAGTTTACGAGCATTTATTTATACAAAAGATTCGTTGTGTACTAGAAAAATTATTATATAACCAAAAATGATATGTGCACATACACGTACAGGGTGTCTATATAGGTACGACAATAATTATCAGCCCAAATATATTTGCCTACTGGTGGCTGTTCTCGGTGAGATTTTGAAGTTGTGTCACTCGATGAGTAAGCACGTCTGACGCGAAAACCTTTGGCTCGCCGCCTACTTACACGTCTACGCGTACTCCTTGGCGACTCTGTAGACTCCGACGTATCTACCGGAATAGGACTTCTATCCATTCGTTTTTCTACTAGATTACAATTTTCTCGCTGCACTACAACTGTTAGTGGAGACGCTGATAGAGGTGCTGATCCTCTTGTGTCAGATATGCAACAACTTTCAAGCTATGAAGAGCCGTGCGTCATTGTTTTCATTTTGGTAGTTTTGCTCGTACGACCTTTAATATCATATCATGCGTGCTTTAGTCGTACCGATTTTACTATCTGTGCGTTCGCAGGTAGTGAGTGACCCACGTTTAAGTGTGAAATCTATAATGCATTTTGACCCATTTTGGAGACAGGATTTATAGCACTTGATAAGTAGGAGGTTTGCCTGATTTGCATTTTCTTCAGGCAGACAGACACAGACAAAGGCACGCAAATAAATAAAAATGTAATTTCGGCATTTAACTTTGAGCACAGTCACTGACACATTTACCTTTCCGAATTGCAATAAGAAGTTTATGGAACTAAATCAAATTAAAAAACACTGTAGAACAGCAGCAGTCACTGAAAGACGGGTGTGGTGCTGTTAATGTCTGTAAAATCCCAAGAGTTTGCTAATGC